TTGGTATTTCTGCAATGACGGGGATATCCCAAAAACAGACTGTATTGGAGGTTGAAGTGACCCTGACTAGGAATGAATGGCAAAAGCACTCCTTTGGGACTGCCTTTGGGACTGGTCCAGAGGCTCCATGCATCCTTGGCAGAAACTATCTTAGGAGAGAGTATGTCAAGGACTCTAAAGGATATCAGTGGGCTTTCAGTATAGCTGCCTTGGAGACAGAGGAAATTAAATAGCTGTCTACCTCACCAGATCTCTCAGAGTACGCTTCTTTTATGGGGTTGTGCAAGGCTGAAGAACAGCAGATACCAATCACTACCTCAATGCTACACCAGAAGCAGTATCACACCAACTGAGACTCCCCAGTTGCCATCCATAAACTGGTTCATTGACTGGAGAGCAAAGGAGTCATCAGCAGGATCCACTCACCCTTTAACTCAGCCCTATACGGGCAGTGTGAAATTCTCAGATCTCTGACAAGGACTGAAGGAGAAATCCAAAGGAATCCTAGCATACAGTTGGTAATGTTACTATTCTATTAAAATAAGTTTTAGTCAGATGAGTACACAGATTTTTTTCTAGAAAGAAAATGTATACTTAGAAAATGTTTGGGTTTTGATCTCTTTTTTTGATTATGTAAATTAGACAGGCTGCAGTTAGAATAAACTACAATATATAGGACATTAAGGATGGAATTACAGATGTGGTTTAAACTATCAATATAGGTGTGGCATTTTAGCAGCATATAGAAATATATCACTATATAGAAATATAGTCACTCTATTTTGATATGCCTGTTCATTTTAACATCATACAGAGCTACCTCCTCCCATTTTCCTTCATGATGTGTATGAGAATAACTGAGTGCACCTATGTTAACAGTGCTCATATTACTCCCTACATTGAGCCACCTCTGCAGTCTATGTTACATCTAACATTTGAATGAAAAATCTTCACGTTAGGGGACAAAATATTTGCGCAAAATTCTCATATTTCCCAACAGTAATATGAAAATCAATCTGTATTTAAGCAAACGAACTTAGTGTGAACATGAAATTACAAAAAAAAAAAAAAAAAAGGTCCTTACATAATTCATTTAATGCTTGAAAATCATACTGATTATAAAGTATGGATGTGCAATTAATTACTTTAATAGCACTGAAGACATACTACTTGAACCATTTCTCTTAACAAAGCTTTGTTTTGGCTGTGGCTGATGCCAATGTCTACAACAATCCTAGCTTTTTTCCTCTAGCCAAAATCCATTTGTTATATTCACCCATTCCACACTATCCTCAAAGCGAGCATTTATTAACTTCTTCTCAGCTCAAAAGTACTGTAATGAAAGTAATTCTTTTGGAAAGTGTCTAAAGTGTGCTTCCCTACTCTGCAAGTTTCTTTTCTCCAAAGAAATTGAAAATTAGTTTTACTAGTGGCATAAAACTGAGCTAACACAGTAACTACTTGAGGGGAAAAGAAAAAGATTTACCATTACCTTCAGCAGAAGAGGTTTCTCTGTCTAAAAGTTGAAGACAATCCTACATCATTAGCACAGTTTTGCCATTAGCCAGGATAAACACAAAAATTCTTGTACCTTGCATTCTAATTTTAAGAAACAATACACTTCATTTCCCTTCAGGTAAAAAGCTCTTCAGAGTAATCTGTCCTGAAAACATTCATTCTTGATGGTTCCTTTTGATGCCAAATTTTCAAAATAATTCAGCAACTATATATAGTCGAATGTGTAAAAAAGGCCAAATGTTGAAAACCATAGACACCCAAGAAAATTCCTTCTCTTTACACTGAAGTCTGTTGCACTACTAAGCACTTGTTCTCAAAGCCAGGACAGACATTTAGGTGTTCTTATGAATACAGAAGTCCTTTAAAATTCAAACCCTTAAAGAACACAACAGTTACCTTAAGATCACAAATTTGCTAGCACCAATAATTACTAATTCACAGCAACACACACTAAGATTATTTCCCTTATTTCATAAACATATTAAAAGATAAAAATGTCAGAGAGATTGAATTCCTTTCACTACATGTTATTCAATTTCAGGTTATTTCACTACTGTAATTTTCTCTGTAAATAAGATATATTCAGAGTCTTCAAATTTCAGATGAAATTTAGCGAATGCTTCTGATCAAATATTGGGGGTTCCCCACCTTGGTGGTTTAATAAAAAGCAGAAGAGTCATTTTCAAATATGAAATGACCAGGATGGAAAAGGTAAGCCTTACTTCCACTAGGTTTTACAATTGGCAAGATGTCTTTATTCTGTTTGATTCTGCACCAAAGCAGACCTGCAAGCCTTCACACTCACACTTGCTCAGAGGCAAAAGGAAAAAGCCAAGGGTTCAAGGAATATGTTAAGCCCATTTAATTTTTACTCAGCTTCAACTCCCAGCACATCCCTTAAGTTGAGTAAAGATTTTGGAACAAAATCACCAGAAGAATTATAGTCATTCAACAGGAGAACACAGGAACTGGAGTAATTTCTCCTAAAATTTTTGTTAACACACTTTACAGGCTAGAAGAGCTCAAAAATGAATGACTTTAGCTTATCCTTTGAACGGCATGAAACTGCTTGCAGCAACGTTCAGTGACTAATTTGCTCATTAATTTGACGTGAAGCTTTCCTCTGGGCTTGGGCTTCAAGGTTTCCACAGATACCTAGACATAACTGAACACACTTGCATTAGTCTTGTGTGTCTTTTATTGGAAAATGGCTTATGAAGAAACAGATGTATTAGAATGAGGTGTCTGACCTTGGTGACCATGCAGCTGTGCAGCCACCAACTTTCTACTGCATTAATTCACTGTGTACATCTGCAGTCCACTATAATACCTCTGCTAACACTCTGGAATTACAGAGAGAGTTAAAAGCTGCTTTACAGGCCAAATTGGGACTTCATCTGAAGGAGAATTATTTTATGTGAAGTAAAGCCAGGACCCACCCATCCCTATCAGATCAGTTGTCTGGATTACAGAGTCAGTCTGTTAGGAAAAGCCTTTAGCCAGTACAGCTTGGAACAAAACCTTTAGGTTTACTCTCATGAGAATAAGTTCTTTTTTAATAATGTAAGGACACATTTCAATGAAGAAGTCCTTCCAAAGCATAATATTTTGATGTTACTAAGTTCTGATTTTTTTTAAAAAAAACAAACAACAAAAACACAAAAACAAACAAAAAACAAGCCCACAAACAAAAACCCACAAAACAAAAACAGCAGATCTGAAATACTACATTTTCCAAGAAGCAACGAACTATGAACACTCCAGTCAAAAACAAGCCACATTAGAGTGTCACTAATAAAGTTCTAGTATATAGTTTTTCATGCATTGTGAAGCATGAGGCTAGGTGCCTGTGTAATACCAAACATGGTTTTTATAGCTGTGTTTTCTCCTTATAGCAAAATTATTTATAGGAACAAAACAACTGAATCGAAAGATATAGAATGTAGCTTTCTAAATTGTAATTAAAAAGGTGGGCAAACTGAGAAGGGAATCTGACCATCAGCATGGCTTAAAAACACTCAAAATCAACCTGTATAATAATTGATGGTTGTCATCATTACCAGATCCACTGAATACGGATAATGCTGTCATACTGCTACAATTAGCCAAAATTAATAGTTGCTTGAGTTATTGTTTAATAAATATTATAAATATATATCTATAGATGTCACATGACATAGATATTTGTGAGTACAGTAGAAAGGGTGCTGAAAAGCCTAAGCCACCATTTAAACAATCTACTTACCTGCAGAAGTCTCAGGCAAGCTCTAACTTAAGTCACTACTTACTATATATATGTAATAATCACAAAATAAAATTCTCTAATTTCTGGCTGAAATAAAATGAGACCAGTGCTATAGTTATATTACTGGCCATATTCCAGAAGATGTCTGAGGTTGTCACTGGTCATGTGCAGCTCAAACTAATTATTAGGAAACCAAGGAGGTCTATTATGGTCCAAGCTGTCAGAGAGGCTTCTAACATCTTCAATATGAACAAACAATTCTACACACATTTTTATGACCACTAACTCATAGATATGCAGATGTTACAGATTACATTGAAGAAAAACATACGTAAATATGTCCCACAGAGGGGAGTTATATCAGATGCCCAAACAAATATGCATGGTATACATGGACACATTAGGAAAGGCCTTAACAACACATTCAACAGAGAACTGTCCTTTATTTGCAAAAATCTAGGAATTTCTTTTTATTCTATAGCAGCTGTTCGCCATCATTTAATGTTTTGTATATTTGCAGCTACACATGGCATCACACATTATTTACTAGTATTAATTATCTTACTGTCATGCAGTTTAGGATTACAGTGTCTATACTAGAAAAGACAGGGTGGGTTACAGAATGGAATTACAACATTAGACAGCAAGGCTCAAAACTGACAGGCAATAATCATACATTTCTATTACACAATTCCATGATCAAATTAAAAGAGAAAA